TTTCCCACTGTCTAAGCCTAACTCATCACTAAAAATAATTCCCATTGGGATCTTCCAATATCTACCAACTGCTACTATAACTATTATCATTTGGTAATGAAATCAGCATTTCATCCTCACAGACCCCATTTGGCATTCAAGGATTGTGTGTCATGCTATTTTGTATACCATGACTGCCGCTAACTTCCCCCTTTTGGGAATCCAGACGTTGCTGCTCATTCCAATATTTCAGTAACATTCACCGTTGGACCTGTAGCGCACAGTATTGGTCATCATAATTCTCACAATGTTGATGACCAATGTTAAAGACGTTGTTTAAAGTTTGTCAACAAAGGTGACTTTATTGCTGACATAAATACTTATATATATATATAAACACCTGACAACGAATTGACAGAATATCTTCAAGTTATGAATTACAAGATGAAACAATATTTTTATATTATATTATTTTGTCTTTTAAAAGAAGAAGAATCAAAATAGGATATGTACATATATATATATATATAAATACGATGCTTACGAGTTTGATTTAGTAGTCAAACTTATGCTCTTATACTATATCAAAATTATTTCTAATATTACCTTTCTTTGTTTACTATTTGCTGTCAAATGTTATCCTAATTAAAGGTTGGCCAATTAGCCTACAAGACTTGGCCTATGGTACAACAATTGGCGCATAGTTGATTGTCACAAATATGAGCTCACCCTTCTATTAATGATAATAATAATAAATTTCCTCTTCAAGTCAATACGTAGCCATAGATTGCATTTAGTTTATCAGAGACTTTATTGGTGTCAGATAATTGCTTATATACCCTACTAGACCTATTTATCTTCCTATAGACTTTAAACTAGGGATCCACAATGTATTTCGCTTGTATCTTACTAGGAGGGCAAACAATAATTAGAGGTATTTTGACATGATGTAAGTTACTCATATGATAGAAAAAGAATATATACAAAGTTCTTTTCTGATGTTATTATGATTATGATTATGATTATGATTATTATAAATATTATTTTGTCTATAAAATAAAACCGTTTTTGCATTAGCTTTGAAAGATACAATAATTTGTTAATGCAAGTTTTGTATGTATTCCTTTGAATATCGTTTTTTCTTTAACCAACGCACAGAAGCTACTTTATGAATCAATCTTAAAAATAAAGACAAAGTTTGTTGACCATTCAAGATAAAAGATAAAAATATATTAGCTACATATATATATATATATATATTTCTTGCTATCATGTCAGAGCTTGCGTCTTTCATTTTGGATCTATTATCTCTCTCTCTTTATCTTTCTATATAATTTTGTCAATAGCGTGTTTTTACTAACTGTTAAACCTTGTATTTTATTCTTCTTTGCTTAAATCTACAGCTAATAAGCGTTTAATGCTGAGAGCTGCTACTGAGTTCCCCCTCTCTTTATTAATATTTTATATGTTTCTCGTATAAATATAGTAAAATAAGAAGTCTTTAAAAAAATCACGAAATTAATATGACTTGACTTTAATTATGATGGTAATGTCGTTTAAATTTGTCTTGAACAAGATATACTATTGTTTATTGTGTATTTACATAAATATAATTAAGAATAGGAGATTATGTCAGAAATAGTACTTTACTGACTTATTGCAATAGAAGAAAATTGTATTATCTTTTTCTTTACAGCAATACTAATCTTACATTGTATAGATCAGAGAAACTTGCTGCATTACTATTGCTTTCTACTACATAATTAATAATATTTTACTCATCTCTTTTTCAAAATAGTATTTAAATTATACATATAAGTGAATTAAGAGTCAGTATATAGTGTCTCAGATAATATGTGTTTAGCATAGACATTAAAGATAGCAGTTAATACATTTCAAGACATTTAAAATAATCAAATAATTGTAGAATCATCAAACAATATGATTTTCATATTATAAGATCGAGCTGATATTGTATAAAAGACAGTAAGAAAACAATAACGAAGCTGCTTGTGTATAATATTAAACCAGCAAATTTTGCGTGGAGTTTGAGGCAAAAGCCCAGGAATAATATTAGTGAAATCAAGTACTTTTTCTCTTTATTTATTACTGATAGCATGTCAATATTTAACTAATGAAGATCTTTATTAACATAGCTCATCTTACATTTATCATTACTCAGGCCGATCAGAGTACACTAGTTGATACAAACGTGTATCATTCCATCGGCAAGGTCTTCCAATACCCCCAGCATTTTCTTACTGATGGTCATACAAATTATGTAGACCATTTTTCTTTTCTTTAGTTTGAATATCACTTATAATATATTCCAATGACATTTTCCCTAAGAAATACATGTTCTCTTCAAAAATGAAAGATTTACTCTCTTAAAAAATTGGTCGATCTAATCATACTATCACTAACTTTAAGTGATAGGCACAAAGTATTTTTCTTTCACTACAACATTTTGCAAATTGGCTGTCTATATAAATCACTGGTTTTCTGCTTGTTTTCCTTGAGTTCATATATTTGATTACATTATATAAACAGAGCACAGATCAGCTTTAAGTAATAAAAGAAAAAAACCTCTATTTCTAGATATTGGTTAACTATTTGGCTATATTTTTTTTTTTTACTTATTTGCTTCAACATTCTCTTTCATTTTCTAGTACTTTTTAAAAGAAAAATTCCACTGCTTTAATGCATCCGCACATTTTTAGACGATATTTAATTCAATTTTTTTTTGGTCTTAAATTAATGTTAGCTGTTAAAATTAAATTACTACTCTTTACTACATACATATCATTACGGAAAGAAGTGAAAATTGAAAGAAATACAAAGAAAAACTCCTAGCTACATTCTTTGCTCTATGATTGAATGAGTAATGTAGTAGCTGTCACAAAGAAACAGCAGTACCATCAACAAGGAATGAGATAGACAAATTGTCTATAAAAGAAGCATCAACCTTTCAATTTTTTCATTTTTTTCCGTATACCTCTCTTCCCGCAATTTCTCATGATTTCCTATCCCATCCAACTTGCCTTGCAGACTTTATGTCTTGCCTCAGCCTACTTTTGCGCACTGCTTTTCGCAGCTATATCCTCTCTCTCAGTCCCCTCTGTTTTTAACATGGACTTATTCTCATACGGAATGAAAGTAATCCACAAAGGTAAGACAGCTATTGAGTACTGTAATATCAACATAGATACTAACATTGACCATATGTCAGACGATGAAGGTTGCTTGCAGTCTTTCCGTACTTCGTCGGAGATATTTTCTTCTGGTTCCTGCCGTAGTGGCTCCCTTGGAGATGCCTTGGGGCCTATATCTTGTCTTGGCGTCTCTTCGGAGATTAATGGTGCCGGTGATGTCGAAGGTCTTTCTAGTTCTACTTCCATGAATCAACAGAACAGCATCTGCCATCGGATGAACTCAACAGTTTGTGAAGATGACAAGCGTTCCCACATGGAACAAGTGGCGTACATTCCAGTGCGTCATGAGAACCAGGGACTCAAACGCTTGGTCCGAACCAGACTCCCATATTATGGGGAGGAACTGGAGGAGCAGATGTTTGAGGTGCTAGTTCCAAAGGCGAGCCCTTCTAAGCTCATTGGATCTACTCCAGAGCCGTTGAAAGACGGTATCCAGGACGAACCACATAGCATTTGCTATGATAAAGTCCATACCAGTGTTTCTGTAACTGCGTGTTCCCTTGCTTTGCCTTGTTCCCCTGAGCAAGGACCATTTACTGAACAGAAACCAAGCTTTTCTTTGGTTGGTGAGCTTCCTTCCTCTGGCCAGGAGATGATCCTCATAGAAATTTCCAATCTGGTATCTCTCTTTGGCTCTATGTCAATCGAGGATACTAGTGAAGACCTTCGGGCTGGCCAGAATCTCTCCGTGTACACTGCCCAACAAGTGGGTGCGGCTGGAGTAGAGATGGCTTCGGCTATGGAGGACTGCTGGTACGGAGAAAACACTGTCTGGTCGGAGGAGGTTCCTCAGTGTCCTGCGTTGGTCGGAGGTCTTTTTGCCTTCGGGCAACAAGAACGCATGGACTTCCTGTCCACTGTTGACACTCCTTTGGAGCAGATGCTGACGGATGCAGATGAGGAAGATCTCGACTGTGCAATGAGTATAATCTCTGAGCCAGAGTCTTCCGAAATGCTTGATGTCGAGTATGCCGGTGTCGTTGTTGCAGGCGTCTCCACAGCCTGCTGGTACAACGTGAACAACGAACTAGCGATGGTTCCAGAAGACTTGTATGGCGACAGTCTGATGGACCTCGCCGTCGAGGTAGTTCCAGGGATCAAGGGCAACCTTGATCACTACCAAGACGATTGCCTCATGTACTGGGATGAGAGCTTAGTCTCAAAAGCCTCTCCCATCATGGCGGCTACCATGTTCTCTGTTTCTGGTGCTACCACCATGTTTCCCGCTTCTGGTGCTGCCACCAGACTTTCTGTCTCTGGTGCGGCTACCATGTTTCCGGTTTCTGGTGCTGCAACCATGTTTCCTGCTTCTGGTGTGGCTTGCCCATTCCCACTTGAACAGGTAAACATTACCAACAAAGGCGCGACTTGTGTCCCACAGCAAGTTGCAGAAGATCTCGTGGGGAATCCAGAGGAGGGTCCAAGACTACCATCTTCCCCTCTTCTCCCCGGATCTGATTCTGGTGCTGGCCTTCCCGGCCAATCTGGCGTGTCGTTGCCAGAGAATAAGACACCAGAGCCTACCACAATTCCTGGTGTTGTGGCGTGGCTGACTACCGCTCCCGAGAGTCCAGAAGAAGTCCTAGAAGGTGAAGAAGATGATGATGATGACGAAGAGGACTCGGATAAGGGACACGAAGATGACGACGAGGGCGTCACCCTGCAAGACTCAGTGTTGGCAGATCTCCTTGCTGAGTTAGAAGAGAGTGACTTTGACGATGAAGCATGAGATGCCAGGGTCAGCAGGCGGTAGTCAGATTCCCCTTTACGTTCGGTTCCAATTGCTCGCATATTCAAAGGTCTGGCTAATCATTCTTTTTCAAGTTTGACGCCATGGTCCGCTTGCTTGTTTGGTTCCGAGTCCAAAGTCTTTGGATAGTAGAGGGAAGGTAGACGTGGAGTTGTCTACACCGATGTATGCAGAGCAGGTGTAGGCTGAGTTGTGGCTCGTTGCACTTGCTGTTAATCACCGTCTGCATATATTCGAAAGTGGTGGTAGCGACCCTCTGGTTCTCAAAAAGGTAAAATTTTGACTTATATTTTTACTACTATATTTATTATTTATACATATTGAAAATTTATTAACTCTAATTTATTTATTTAATTATTTATTTATTTTTAAAAAAAATAGTTTCGGGTTGGTAGAAATCTTTTTGAGTTCCACCCCCCAAGGCTATAATCGAGTTCTTGGGTTCTTGGTTTTCCCTATTTTGTTTGGACGTTCTTGGTCCCTTTTGTTTCGTTGTCTAGACTTTGGCTGTCTGTGTTTCTGGATGTTATTTTCAGGCAATCGTCATCCATGTATCTGGACTTTGGCCGTCTGTGTTTCTGATTGTTTATTTCCAGCATTTGACTGCCACGTATCTGGACTTTGTTTGCATGTATTTCTGGTGCTGCTTGCAGGTCTTTGGCTGCTGTGAGACTTGCTTTTTTTGCCTGTTTCTCTGAATTGTTGTTTGCAAGCATGCGATTGTTGCGTAACTGGACTTTATTCGTCTATTGGTCTGGTCGCTACCTACAGGCATTTGACTGTTGCGTGTATCTGGGTTTTGTCTCCCTTTGTTTCTGGTTGCTATTCGTAGGCGTTTGCATACGTCTCTGATGTTGCTTGCAGGCCTTTGACTGCTGTGAAACTTGGTTTTTTTCTGCGTTTCTAATTTTTGCTCGCATGTGTTCGACTACCATATACCTGGACTTTATCTGTCTTTTGGTCTAGCTGTTGTTTTCAAGCATTTGACTGTTGCATGTATCGGGGGTTTGCCTTCCTTTGTCACTTGCTGCTATTCACAGGCGTTTGACTATCTCGTATCCAAACTTTGTTTGCATATGTTTCTGGTGCTGCTTGCAGGCGTTTGATTTTTGTGAAACTTAGTTTTATTTTCCTGTGTTTCTGATTGTTGTTCGCAAGCACTTGACTCCTGAGTACTTGGAGTTTATTTGTCTGTTGGTCTGGTTGTTGCTCTCAGGAATTTGACTGTCGCATGTATCTGCTTTTGTCTCTCTTTGTTTTTGATTGCTGTCCGCAGGCGTTTGACTATTGGGTCAATAGATTTCCCTGTCTGGGTTTCCTGCTTTTGTTCTCAAGCGCATGAGTGTCGTATTGCTTCAATATCTCTGTTTATGGATTGTGCTATGTAATTCGTTTGGGCTACCATGAACCTGGTTTTTGATCTTGAAAATGGATACCAAAATTTTAAGTTATAAAACGTGGACGTTTGGTTTTGTGGCAGCTATAAATCGTATTTGGTCAACCTTGGTGGCCCTTGGCGTTCTAGAAAAACATTATTCAAGTTTTTGCGTGTCTCTGGTTCCGTCTAGTGGATTCTGCAGAGTCGATAGATGTATTAACTCAAGTCTAGGGGTAATATTATTGACTTTCAAATGGATTCCACAGTAAACAATAGGCAGTCCTTAAAAATATACAGCTGGCGGGTCTATAATATCTGCTATGATACTTTCAAGCCGATTATCAACAAGAGATACAATCAATGAGTCAAGCGCATGATGCAGAAAAGCATCTCAAATGTACAGCACATGCCAATTACAAACCTAAGAAACCACGTTTATTTGATATGACTACTACTCAAGATGTGCTTCAGGAAACAAGCGCTTGGCTTTTTTCAATACTATTAAGGTTATAATATATAGTAGATACTATGCAAGTAGAGTATCTACTACCAAGTGGATAGGATATCGAGAATTTCATCGACAGCTATGAGTATTTAATACAGCCATGGGTTGAACACAAACCAGCATATTATGAGTTGTCCTCAAATTTGGCCGATATATAGAACCAAGATTTGATTAATTGGGTCAACCGGGTCGTATTCAGAGCTGTCAAGAAGAGTAGGCTAAAGCAAGCAATACCGGCAATGTCTGTATAGCAGGGACAAACAACCCACATATATGGTCCAAATACGTGCGCAAGTGATTGCCAATGAAAAGCAAGATTCAATCAAAGGTCATATCATGAGTCTAATTTTAGCAAACTATCAAGTCAAAGTTTGATGAGGACAGAATCAGTCAAGCAGGAAGCCAATATCAGACTGGTTCTAAAACGCAAAAAGAAAAAGTGGATGTTTATATATATATATATATATATATGTAAAGGAAAAAATTAGAAAAAAAAAGAACAAAAAAAAAAGAACAAAAAAAAAAGAACGAAAAAGAAAAAAAAAGAATAAAAAAAAATTATTAAAGGTGGAATGAGAGGACAGCAACAAAAATATGCAAAGTCTACTGATGCTCACCAATACAATCAACCAAGAAAATCAAGCATTTTGCACGGTGTTCAAGCTACTTGGTGGCTGGTCTCTGACTCACATTAAGAAAATTATATACCCCCGTTCCTACAAAAAATCATGGAAATTCAATCCAGTAGTAAATCTTTCCCGCAAGAAAATTGTGTGTAGCACTATATCCCGCCTCAAGTATTCAAGTGATCAAGTCAATTGTATCAAGCTATCAAAAATGCACCATAAAATTATACAACCCAGGAGCTTACCATTTCATGGGTCGGCCAAAAGCACTTCAAGAATCTCCACTGGGTCAACAATTTCTTCAAATATGAATTTTATACGTTGGTCAAAGGCCGTAGTTTCATACATAAAAAAAAAGGTTTTGGCGATCCCCGAATGGATTTTGCAGACAATTCTGTGGCACCAGTATATCTATTACGGGCCTCCATCAGCAAGCAAGAAAATATTTCGGAAGGAACTACGGAAACACAATAGCAACAATATAGCTATTCAAAGGAATCCTGCTCTTGGTGTTTTCTCTGAAAAACAACACAAAACAAAACTGAACCCATTTCAGTTGGGCGTCACAAAAATATTACGCTGTTAATTAGAGTATCAAATATCTTAGAACTAATAATATATATATTTCGCAGTTGTATAGTATAGGGTCCAGTGCCTTGTTCAAGTCCATGAAGGGGGGGTCCATTGTCCAGTCCAATATCCATTCCAATATTTTGTAAAAAAAAAGAAGAAAAAAAGAAGAAGAAAAATAATATCAAAAACACAAGGCAAAAACAATGTCAAAAACAAAAACAAAAACAATGCATTCGTTAACGAAGCGTCTCTGTATCCACTCAAACTGGAGGGTACTGCTTTCCAAAATCTTTGTTGTCTCAAATCACAATGTGTCCTTTACAAAGTTTCTCTTGGCTCAAGACTGAAGGTGTCCTTTTAAAAAGTCTCTCTCGACTTGAATCGGAATATGTTCTTTCCAAAATATCTCTCCACTCAAGTCAAAAGGCGCTCTTTCCAAAGTCTCTCTTAACTTAAGACTAAAGATGTCTGTTCACAAACTCTCTCTACTAAAATCTGAAGACGCTTTTTCCAAAGTCTCTCTTCATTCAAGACTGAAGGTGTCCGTTCACAAACTCTCTCTTAGCTCAAATCAGAAGTTGGTCGTTAACAAATTCTCTCAATCCAAATCGGAAGGTGTCCCTTTACCAAGCATCCCTCCGCTCAAATCTAAAGGCGTTTTTTTACAAACTCTCTCTCTCTCAACTCAAATCGGAAGGTTCTCTTTCACAAAGTCCCTTTCTCTCTCTTCATTCAAACGTGAATGTGTCCTTTAGCAAAGTCTCTTTTGGCTCAAATCTGTTGATGTCTTTACCAATTCTCAACTCAAATCGGAAGGTTCTCTTTCACAAAACCTTTCTCAGCTTAAATCGGAAGGTGTTCTTTTACCAAGTAACTCTCCACTCAAATTATATGGCACTCTTTACAAAGGCTCTCCTGTCACATATCTTCAGGTGTCCTTTTACAAGATCTTTCTAATCAAAGCGGAAGATGTCATTTTACAAAATCTATCTCGGCTAAAAAAACAAGGCGTTTTCTAATAAAGCCTCTCTGGGTTCATATCAGAAAGTGGTTTTTTTCCAAAGTCTCTCTTCACCAAATCTGAAGATTACTTTTCTCAAATTCTCTCTCAAATCAAATCTAAAGACGGCCTTTAACAAAGTCACTCTCAGTATCTATGACCATGAACATTATACAAATCATATCAAGTCAATACAAATCAACCCAAATCAATTGAAGACAAGACACATCAAGACACATCATGTCTATTAAAAAAATATCAAAACAGATTATACTATACAATTGAATAGAATAGAATATTTCATCAAATCAAATGAAGAAAAGCAAATCATAAAAAATATAAAAAAAAGCAAAACAAAAAAACAAAAAAAATCAAAAAAAAAATTAAAAAATCAAATCAAAAAACAAGAAAATCAAAAATCAAAAAAGAATCAATGGAATGGACTGGCGTTGGACCCCCTCTCCTCTGGATCTGGACAAGGCACGAAGAAGAAATGTAATAGCTAGTAAAATATGGTGCTGACCTGCGACAGCATACACTGGGATTTGGACCATCCCAGCTAATATATTTATATTTAGAGTAGATCAAATTTTCAAATTATTGATTTTATTTTTGTGAATAAATTATCAAGTTCTTTGATATCCAAGCTAAACTACTTTACTTCCAATTAAATTACATAGTTAACGTCAATAGAAATCTATTTTATATATTGATTTTATAATAATAGAAATTAATTTTGTACTCTGTATTTATTAAATACATCTTTGCTATATTTTAACTAATTTCTTGGATCTTTACTTATAACCAGCATTCATATATTGTTTTAAATACACACGCACACACATAAGAGATGTCTATTCTCTCATTGATCTAAAGCTGTTTTCTTTTTTTCAAATTGAAAGTATCAATCAAATTAACCATTTCTACATATAATAATTTATTTTGAGCTTTATCAGGCTTGTCTATGTAAAAGTAATAAAATTAAATTGTCTGAAATAATTGGTTATCTACTTCAACATATACTATGAGATGTGAATGATATATTAGAACTGCAAACTTATGGCTAAAGATATATAGTGTCTATTGGTAAGTACTACTTTTCAAAATAATTTTCAAGTGCTAAGCTTTACGCTCATACAAGATAATCTTCGCAAATCAGCCAAAGAATATTATCAATAGAAAATGGTAAAGAGAAAAATTCACTGTCGTTACCTATTATAATTGTTGTATTTGTTATATAATGCTATAATAAACCCTTTAAAATAAAAATATAACTAGTATTTGTATACTTATTAATGTAAGCATTATAGAGATTGTATTCATTCAATCCACCGAGTATTTCCCAAGGATATATATATTGAATAAGATATAAAATTAGCATTATTTTATCAAACACTACTTTTAATTCTTTGAATAGGGTAAAGTATTGCTGCATTAAAACTTAAACCCTATTTTTTAGATATCTACCTTCTGTAGCCTATAAAGAAATTCGATATGTCTTACGTTTAACAAAAAAAATGTTAGTTATATAGGCATGCCTACGAATTGAGGTAGCTCAATACTTTATATTTTGTCTTTAGTAGCCAAAACAGAGATATTAAGCTCAATGAAACCACTTATAATAAATACAACACAGATTTCATATTGTATACATGTATGAGAATAAAATATAAAAAGTAGAAATCCTTATTATTTTATTAAAGTTCAAAGAATCTATTCTGTTCTATGTTTCAGTATGTATATTACAAAGTCACAAAAAGAAGTATTAACTTTATTTATTTTCGATATTACATTGATTAATATATATTTATATACTATTCAAAATGAGTAAATTTATATAAAACAAGGCAAGA